GCCTTTTCTGGGTTCAAAGAGCTCGCGTCAAGGGAGGGCTGCGGGGCTCGCCCCCCAGCTTGCTCGTTCCGTCGCGTGGCGAGATGGAGGCGCTCAAATAAAATTTCACTGGCGCAGCTCTGCTGCATTCTATCCGGTCGGTGGCGCATCGTCCTGTTTCGTAGTGTGGGTGGTCGTCGTCTCAGGGGCGTGCCATGAGTCCTGCCATCTGCGAACTCGGTCTGGACCCCCCGCCATCTATTTGGGGGCATGTCGCGGTCCTGTTCTGGGCCGCTGCGCCCGCTTCCGCAGCTTCACGATCCCCTGATAGCACTGACATCTGGAGGTGGCTTTCCCGATCCAGGCGCCCCATCATGATCTGCTGCGCCGACCTGTCCACGTAGTATCCGAGGCGAGGGGCTTGGGCGGTGAGCCCGGTGACCAAACCAAGCGGTGCTGAAGTACCTGCACGTCTATCAGGTCATGCGCGTCCTCTACCGTTTGTACCCCAGCTCCGCCCCAGCACGCAGCCACCGTGTCAAGCGCATGCGCGCGCAGGCTCATGCATTGAAAGGTTTGTGCGAGACGCTATCTTCCCGCAGTCGTGGCGGAGTCCCAGATGACGGTGGCCAGTAAGGCACTCCATCAATAAAGGCGGGGAGGGTCGCCGTCGCTACCCTTCGTCTAACGGCGCGCACCTCGTCTATGAAGTTCCTGAGGCGGTCCCTTTTCTGCCCTGGAATCCAGGCGAGCGGGGTCGGCTTGGGCCCTGGCAGGCGCGGCGTGCTCGTGGGCTGCTCCGATGTGCCCCTCGGCGCCAGGGTCAGGGTTGTTGGCGCCAGGCATAACTTCGTCACTCTTTTGCTGTCTCCTGTCCAAGCGTAGCTGTCTGATGATGGCGCGCTCCACAATGCCCCCGACTGCAGCGGCGTTGCTGTTGAGTCTGGCGGTCAAAATTTGGCCGTCGTCGTCGGCCATGGCAGCGAATCCCAGGAGCGCACGTCGGGCCGACTCGTTCTCGTCTGGGGCCATGCCCCGGCCATGCCCCGATCGACCTCATGTCTGTCGGCGCATAGCTGATCACATGCACAGACTGCTCGCGCGACACGCATGCCATTGTTGTGCTGAAGCAAGGCCGCCTCGCCGGTAACCAGCCCCAGGTCGAGCAAGCGTGCGACGACGTCGTCTGCGTCTGGGATCTGTGGACCTGTCAAGGGTGGCCCCGTACGCGGCATCGATGGCTGGGGGGGGGGGCATCTGGCGAGAGTCCACCCAGAGTTGGCGGTGATGGTATCGGTGTGAAGTGTCTCGCAGATCCGGCCCGCCCAAGCGGCGGGGGCGGCGCGCGGCCGGGCCAAGGTCCCAATGGCAAGCACCAAGTGCATCTCGGGAGGGGCAGAACCCGTGACGATGTCGGTCCGTTCGCTGAGCTTGGCCCAAGTACCCAGGAGTTCGCAGACAAGCCATAAATGGTGGAGTAGTCTGCTAGTAAAACGCAACAGGGGCGAATCTCTGCGCAGCATGCGCAAGGCATGTCAGCATCTCGTCTCCCAAGGTCAACTGGGGGCGCTGCCAGGCATTCGCGGGGGCGTCCGTCGATCTGCCATGGGGTCGCTAGTCGGACGCATACTGGGCATCGCCCTGCCCATGGCCCCGCGCAGAAGCCATGAACCACAAAAGCCGCATCTGTCGTTGAGTTTGGGATATACCGCGACGTCGCCCCGCGGCCAGGCGCCCCCTGGGTCTACCCGACCGCCCAGCCGCATTGGGGGGATCCCAGGACCCCATGGGCCGGAACGGAACCTCCCGGCGTCATCAATCTGGGTTGCTGCGCTGCTCCCGCCAGATCCGTAGTGACAGGGCGATTCACGACGCAGGCGTTGACGGCCTCGGGAGGGCCATCTAAGCTAGGGCCCGGTCGTGTCTTGCCCAGTGTAGCAGGTCCTCATGCGAGGCCCAGTGAATGACGGACTGCCTCCGCTCGTGAATGAGAGGGCCCTTTGCCCTGCATGCGTGGTAGTGGGAGAGGGCCACGGCGCGCGCGCGGGTTAGCCGGGGCGAGCAGAGTGCCTCGAGGGCCCTCGGCGCTCGAGGACCGAGCACTAGGCCGTTGCTATGTCGGCCGCCCATGTCGCACTGGAGGGGTGCTTCGCGCACATGGTGAACCTTTCCGTCGACCGCAGCCTTCCCCCCGTGGCTTGGGAATCGCAGTCCAGTGGGGAAGTCTGGTCAGCGTCGCGCATATCCAGCAGCTCGGCGAATCTCACTGCGAGTAATTGAGCCGGGCGCGGCCTTGCCCCGCCCAGTCGGCCGTCGCTGTCCTACTCGTTTGCCGACCAGACGAGCCCCGTAAAGTCCATGGGCATCAGGGCAGCGGCGCGCGGCGTGGCGGGGTCGGCTTGCCGCGGCGGGGGCGGCGTTGGAGTTGGAGGGCGGGGCATCATGGGGGGCCCGACCTGCTGGGCTGAAGGCCGCGGTGGCCTTCTGGGCGCCGCTTCCAAGCGAAGTGCATCATGAGCTGGAGCCGCCGGGTTGCCTCCTGGGAGAGAGGATGCGTTCCAGTGCCGTTCGTCCATGGACCGCGCGGAGCTCGCGCCCCACCCATGAAGTCATCGATCGTCGGGCCGCCGCCTGTTCCGCGGCAGCGCGTGCTGGTCGGGCCGCATCTCGGGCCGACGGGGATGCGGGGGCGGGCGGCCGGCTGCGCGCCGCCGAGCAGGTCGCTCCGCATCGCATTGAACCGAGCGACGAGGTGGACGGGGGTTATATAGCGAAGGAAGAGGGGAGGGAGGGCGCAGGCGAGCCGCGAGGGAGCCCCGATCCCGACCCGATCACGAGGCCGATCTGGCTGATCGCGGGCGGGTGGATCGGCTCGCGTCCTGTCCCGCCCTCAACTCAGCGGCGGAGCGGGCACTCCGTTGTCGCCGGGCTGCGTTCGTGGGAGTGGGGGCGCGTGGGGTGGGTTCACCAAGTGTCCGGCGGCGGTCCTCACCTATTTCCCGCCCCGTGTCGTCGCCCCCGTGGTGCGCGTCGTCGGGGGCAGCGGTCGCCCATCCTTGATTGTTTGCCGTGGGCACCTCCTGCTCAGCAAGATGCCTTCGCGCATTTCTCGGGGGCCATGTCGGGAGGGGGGCGGGGGTGATCGGGGAGAGTCGGCGCGGGAGAAAACGCGGGCATCCGAATCGGTTGTTGAGGCCTGGTCGTCGTCGCGGCGGCCCCGCAAGTCTGCCCCCGCGGGTCCTTGCCACGCCTGCAGGATGTCGCCAGGATCAGTGGGAGTGATGCCGCTTTCTGGGGCTTCCCCTGGCGTGTCACAAGAGGTCGGAGCTTCGTCTCTCGCGTCTTCTACCCTGGGCGTGCGACTGGTCGCCGCAAGCGCACTGCCACGGTTCGCCGCACCTCTTGACTCTTCCCCAGGTGAGCGACTGATCGCCGCAATCACAGAAAGGAGGAAGGACTCGGGACTCTCCGCAGGGGCGTCGGGCGGGCCGGAAGATCGCCACCATCTCCCCCCCAGCGCGCGACTGATCGCCGCGAGCACATGGTTCTGATCGGCAACGCTCCTCGTTTCCTCCCTGGGCGAGCGACCGATCGCTGCTGACTCACTGGGGAGGGGGGGGACTCGCGAGTCTCCTCGGGGGGCGGCGGGTGAACCGGAAGGCCATCGCGATCGCGATTCCGTCGCGACGCCGATTTGCGCGGACGGGGGCGAGCCGATCCAGCATCTCTCCGCCGTCCCCTTGCGTCGGGGACACAGCGACCATCTACCCGAATTCGCGTCGCCCCTCGCGGCCCCCTACCGACGCCAGGACGGAGGGCTCGGGGGGGCGGCCCCTCCGGTGCTGAGTCGGAAGATCCAGCAGCCAGCGTGCAAGCGCCTCCATCCATCCCTTGAGCCAGGGGGGCTTGAGCCAGAGGGCTACGGAGCTTGTGGGGATACCTTATTGAAGGACTTGGCCCCGCCAGTAAGGGGTAACTCATCAGTTTGTTCCACGGCACCCGCCGCGCAGCAACAAGGAGCGGGGGGATGACGAGAAGGAGGAGCAGGAGGAGAACTCCCTCGCACCCAGCGATACGGAAGCAAAGCCTTGCGCGCCATGACACCGACAGACATCCCGCCACCCCACACCCCCACAACGGCATGGCACCCCGAGAAACCAAGCCGAGCAGAAGGGAGAAAATGGCGCAGCCAAGTCTGCCTCCATTGGAACGCGCACCCGTGCGAAGCCGGTCAGGACGAACCGGCCAATGACGACGCGTCCGAAAACCTCTCGATTCTAGGTCTTGGTCGCCAGAAAAGGACAACAAAACCAATTGACCGGGCCCACCGCCGACACCATCGGCTGCAATTCCAGATGCATCTTCACCGTGACGAGTTTGCCGAAGAACCCACCGGCCATGGTCGCCCATCTTATGCAGTGTCCTGGACATCGCAATTTCTGGGGTGGACATGGCAGTGCTCGCGAGAGTGCTCCAGGCCTTGATCATCACAACGCTCGGGATGGCGGGCTTGCCGAAGTCCGCGCCACTGACGTTAAAATGCTGCCGAGAGTGCTCAAGGCCGCAACGTCTCGCCCATCACCTCGCGCAGCCATCCCGGCTCCGCGCGGCTGCGCCCCCCCCTGAGGAAGCGCCGCGCGAAGACCGAAGTGTGCGCACCGCGGGCCAGCGGGGCCAGGAGGAGAAAGAGAAGGGGGAGAGGGGGGAAGGAGGAGGAAGAGGTTTTAGGACCAGTCCTATTCACCGCCGAGTGAGAAGGGGGGAATCAAAACTAAAAACCTCCTGAGACTAGCTGCCCCGATGCGCAACACGCAACACGTGACGTGGACACGGAGCTCAACACAACACGTAGACTGAACGCGTAGGTATGGCGATATGCATTCGCCAAAGCGTGGGCCAACACGGCGAGCCAACACACAGTGTGTCAACACGGACGTTTTGAAGACGGTACGGGGTGCGTTTCGAGACGGGCGTATCAGGGTAACTAACTCCTCCCCCATCCTCCCCTCCCCCCCGCCTTTGGGATACCAGAAGTTACCGATGCCCGATACCGCCGCCACTCCTCGGACCTCTCTCCTGGGGCGCATTCTGACCAAGATTTCGAGGCGACTCCAGCGGTGGCGACGAGGGCCTTCAAGTAGACCCCGAAGAGGCGACAGCGAGGGAACGGTGGCTGCAGCTATCGGTACGCTCTCCTCCTCTGACTCCTCCCCCCCTCGCTCTCGCCTACCCCCCCCGCCCACTCCGGCGACAGCGCGACGCCGTCTTCGCCGCGGGGGGGACCGTGCGCCCGTCGGCGGCAGCCCGCCCCCCAGGCGCCGGCACTGGCGCGCGCTCCCTCACAGCCCAGGCGCGCCGCAGCCCTTGGCGGCCATGCCTCCGACCTTCCGCAGGCCGCCGAGGGCGGACCTAAGACGAGGCCAGAACGAGGACAAAGTCGGGTTCGGATGAATCGAGAATCTCTGAGATCTGGCGGCTCTTGAGGATGTCTCGGGCGCCGCAGCCTTCTCAGCGCGTTCTGGAACGCTCTGAAAGCGTTCATGAACGCTCTGGAACGGATTATCCTCGTGCTAACCCCGTCCGAGGACCAGAGGTCCGGGGCGGTCTGGAGCGAGCACGTCTCGAATCTGGCCTCGCCCTCGACGCCGAAGAACCCGAGGCGCAGCTTGTGGACGAAAAGCCGGGGGCACCACTCGGGGGGCCCTCCCTCGCCGTAGACGGGGTCGCCCACGACCGGGTTGCCCAGGTGGTGCATGTGGGCCCGGATCTGGTGCGTCTTCAGGGTTACCATCCGGCAGTGCACGAGGGAGTACGCCTCCTGGGTCTCTGGGCACTCGTACTCGGCGACGACCTCCCAGACGGTGATGGCGGGCTGGCCCTCCGCGCTCACCCTGACGCGCTTCTCCGACTCATACCTGCTGGAGTCGATCGGGGCAGTGCACTCCCCGCGGTCCGTGGAGAAGGTGCCGTGAACGAGGGCGACATAGTCCTTCAGCACACCGAGCACGATCTGTCGTTTGGCATGCTCGTAGCCTCGGAGAGTCTTCCCCACCAGGAGGGGCCCCGACACGTCCACGTCGAGCCGGTGGGCCATCCCCCGGTCGCTCGCCTGGTCGCGCGCGGCGTCGCAGGTGGGGTCGGCGCCGAACCGCAGCAAGAGCCACGCCTGGAGGGCCGGCACAACGGCGTCGCACATCAGGTCGCCCACCTTGGCTCTCCTGGCCAACCCAGACAACTTCGCCCACCTGTTTGGATGTCCGGAATGGGTACGGAAAGTATGGGTACGCTGCCCAAGAACAACAACAGCGGCAGCGGCCGCTGTTGGGCAGGCGATCTGTCTCGAATGGACAACGACACCGACAGCGAGCTGTTCAGAATGAGCAGGAGATGCTGTCGGCCTTCGTACCGAATCTGTCCGTACCCATTTCGGTCGCACCGAACCTGGGGTCGAGCCCCGTGGGCTGCGACAGGCACGACCAGCCGGGCGGCTTCAGCACCACCGCCAGGTCCGCGTCCTCGTAGAGCAGGCGAGGCTCATCGCGGAGCGGCGCCTCGGCGTTGGACGGCGGGGCCTTGACCGCGCCGCGCCCCGGCTTGTCGAACATGGGCCGGGCGTGCGCCCCCGGAGCAGGCAGCGGCTCTGAGGCGGCGGACCTGTCCCAGCCGCACAGGTGGGCGACGCAGCTGTGCTTGAGATCGTCGCAGCAGCCGCCGTTCACGCACTGCCGTGGTCCGCACTTCGCCGCACCGCTGGTCTCCCCGAGGCACACCGAGCAAGACAGCTGCTTGCACGCTGACTTCAGCGCCTTGTAGCCCGAGGCCCCCTTGGTCTTGTCGTTCTCGACCTTGAGCCACAACGGCACGAAGCGTTGGGAATCGCTGTTCCACACCGGGTACGCCGGGTGCAGGGCAAGACAGCCCAGCAGCCACTTGACGCCGTCCATGGTGACCCTGTTGCGGGAGAGATGTAGCTCCAGCGCGGGCGCCTGGCTCGAGCCCATGAGGTATCTAGCTATACACCTCGCGCCCTCGTTGCCGATGTTGTTTCCTGTCAGTCTGAGCACGTCGCAGCGCACGCCGTACTTCTCGAGCATATTGCAGACCGCCTTGGTGCCGTTGGCGCTGAGCTTGTTCTCAGAGAAGTCGATCGTGCTGGCCTTGAAGCGCACCCTGCCACTGCGCGCGCCCGCGCTCTCGCCACCGCCTTCGGCGGCAAGGCGGCGGCCCATCCAGTCGCACCACTCTTTCATCCCCGCGTCGCCAAGCTCGACCTCTGGGGGTGCAAAGAAAAATACAGTAGCACCCCGCAGTTGCGGATAAGAGTGAGGGGGCGGCGGGTGCGTCGGCTGTCTGCGAGGCTCTGAAGAAGCCTGCCGCAGGCGCATAATTTTTCAAGCTATAAAACGAGCCCGCCACAGGCGCCGATGTTTCCCCAAACAGCTTGCTGAACGGTGTGCTGTTGTGATAGAAGCTAACTCCGGCTGGGGAAATCAAAGCCAAGACGTCCTCAAACAAATTTGGTGGTCTGGGCTGTTTCGCCTGAGACATCCTCGCAACTCTCGTTTCTGAGTTGTCTGGGATTGGGCGTTTCGCGTGAGACATCCTTCAAACTCGTTCCCAGATGCCGCGCAAGAGGTGGTCTGGCCTGTTTCGCCTGAAACATCCTCAAACTCTGAGCTCCCAAATGCCGCGCGAGAGGTGGTCCGGCCCGTTTCGCCTGAAACATCCTCGAAACTCTGAGTTCTGAGATGCCGCGCAAGAGGTGTGGTCCGGCCCGTATCGCCTGAGACATCCTCCAAACTCTGAGCTCTGAGATGCCGTGCGCGAGGTGGTCCGGCGCGTTTCGCCTGAGACATCCTCGCAACTCTGAGTTCTGAGATGCCGCGCAAGAGGTGGCCCAGCCCATTTCGCCTGAGAGATCCTCGAAACCCTGGGCTCCGAAATGCCACGCAAGAGGTGGTCCGGCCCGTTTCGCCTGAGACATCCTCCAACCCTGATATGCCGTGCGCGAGGTGGTCCGGCCCGTTTTGCCTGAGACATCCTCGCAACTCTGCGCTCTCTGATGCCGCGCGAGAGGTGGTCCGGCCCGTTTCGCTTGAGACATCCTCCAAACTCTGAGCTCCGAGCTGCCGCCCAAGAGGTGGTCCGGCCCGTTTCACTTGAGACATCCTCGCACTTTTGCATTCCGAGGTGCCGCGCGGGAGGTGGTCCGGCCCGTTTCGTCAGAGACGTCCTCCAAACTCTGAGCTCTGAGATGCCGCGCGCGAGGTGGTTTGGTCCATTTCGCCTGAGACATCCTCGAAACTCTGAGCTCTGAATTGCCGCGCAAGAGGTGGTCCAACCCATTTCGCCTGAGACATCCTCGCAACTCTGACCTTGGAGATGCCGCGCGCGACGTGGTCCAGCCCGTTTCGCCTGAGACATCCTCAAACTCTGAGCTCTGAGATGCCTGCGCGAGGTGGTCCGGCCCGTCTCGCCTGAGACATCCTCGCAACTCTGAGCTCTGAGATGCCGTGCGCAAGGTGGTCCTGCTTGTTTCGCACAAGACATTCTCGCAACTTTGAGCTCCCAGATGCCGAGGAAGAGGTGGTCCAGCCTGGGGGCCCAGAAGACCACATGTTACATATCCTCCCTGGGACCCTGGGAGCCCCAGGAGGCGCCAGAGAGTTCCAGGAGGCCGCAGGACGCCCAGGACAGGCCCGAGGGGTCCCCAGGAAATTCCCAGAAGGCTCCCAGGAGGCCCCAGGACGCCCCCTATCACAACGTGTCAAGTTAATACACATCCGGTGCCGATTCGTTGATTTTTCCTGCTCTTGTGGCCCCCCCATGTCGAAGGGCCCAAACGGCCACATGTTCGATGTCCCCCCCTGGGAGCCCCAAGAGGCTTCAGAAGGCCCCATGTGGAGTCCATGGGGCCACAGGAGGCCCATGAGGAAGCTCCAGGAGGTCTCAAGGAGGCCCCAGGAGGCCCCCGCAACCCGGAGCTCTGAGACGCCGCGCTCGAGGTGGTCCGGCCCGTTTCGCCTGAGACTTCCTCGCAGCACGTTTCGCCCGAGACATCGTCGCAATTCTGGGGTCCGAGATGCCGCGCGCGAGGTGGTCCAGCCCGTTACGCTGGGGACATCCTCGCAAGTCTGGGCTCCGAAAGGCCGTTCGGGATGAAGAGGAGGTGGATGAGGAGGAGGAGGAGGACGAGGAGAAGAAGAAGGAGATGGAAGGGAGAAAGAGGAGGATTATGTGGACGAGGGGACAGGCAGGAGGAGGGGAGGAGGAAGAGGAGGAGAAGGGAGAAGGAAGGGAGTTCCAAGAGAGGACCTAACGGGAGACGGAAATGGCGTGGACTTGTCAGAACGTGTGCGAAAGGTTGTCCGGCCCGTTTTGTTTGAGACACCCTCACAATGCGAAACTCGAAGATGTTGCGCGCGAGATGATCTGGCCCGCTCTGCCTGAAACGTTTCGAAACACAGGGGCTCCAATCACAACCTCTCTCATTATTTGTCCCGCCTCCCTCTTCCCGCTCCCCGCCTGGCTCCTCCCGCCTCCCGCCTCCCGCTGCTGCGCCTCTGCCTCCGCCTCCCCGCCCCCGCCGTCGTCGCGTCTGCCGCCTAAGCATCCGTCATGCGCGCCCTGCCTTCCGCCCTCCCCAGACATCCGACGTCACCATGTTTTTTTTTGAGACGTGCGCCGCGTACCTCTCGAGATCATCCCTGGGGGAACCATCGCGACATGCCACCCCCGCCCTCCCCCGCTTCCTCGTACAGATGCTCCCGGGTTCACAACATGGCGGCGGAGCCTCTCACAGTGCCGATCCGACAGCTTACTCGTCGACCAGGTGCGAAATAGTAGGACAACCTCTAGCGATAGCTTCCTGCTAGGCATGCGTCACACAAACCTTCGTGTAAACATCATGTGCAAACATCATGTTATAATGTTATAACATGCCATGCCAACCCGCACTGGACGGGCACGCGATCGACCTTGGAAACCGCAGTGGGTTTAAAAACCCTGTTTGGGGATACTGCGCTCCGGCTATAATTTCGTTCCAAAAAAAATGAATGGGTCACGGGTTGGGTCGCAGGTGGGTCGACGGTGGGTCGCGGGCCGAGGAGCGGGTGGGTCGCGGGTGGGTCGCGGGTGGGTCGCGGGTGGGTCGCAGGTGGGTCGCGGGTGGGTCGCGGGTGGGTCGCGGGTGGGTCGCGGGGTGGGTCGCGGATGGGTCGCGGGTGGGTCGCGGGGTGGGTCGCGGGTGGTGGGTCGCGGGGTGGGTCGCGGGTGGGTCGCGGGTGGGTCGCGGGGTGGGTCGCGGGTGGGTCGCGGCTGGGTCGCGGGTGGGTCGCGGGTGGGTCTCGGGGTGGGTCGCGGGGTGGGTCGCGGGTGGGACGACGACAACAAACAACAGCAACAACAACACCATTCATTATAAGACTGTTCGCTCTTACTTGCCCGCGTGTCATTCAAAACGAGTTCCCCACACCCTCGATACCCGCCCTTTTTGTCTTCGATCACACCCCGTTTGAGGGGATTCGTTCTCTTTGATGGGGGCGGCGGCCTTAGACAGGCGGGCAAACCTGAACGGGCGGACAATCCTTCGTGGGCGTACATGTGCCCGCCATTGGAATAGGTTTGTGCCCTGCAAAAATAAGAGGGGGAGAACGAGGGAGAGTGTGAGGAAGGGAGGGGGAGGGACGAAGGAAGAGGGACAACGCCGGGAGAGAAGGAGCGAAGACGGGGGCGGCTGATTAGAGGCAGAGAGAGAGAGAAGAGAGAGAGAGAGAGAGAGAGAAAGAGAGAAAGACAGATAAGAGAGGTAGAGAAAGAGAGAGAGAGAGAGAGTGAGAGAGGGTAGAGAGAGAGAGAGAAAGAAAGAGGGTGGGAGGAGGCAGGAAAGGGGAGGGAGAAGGGAGGAAGGAGAGGAGGGAGAAGGGGATAGGGCAGAGAGGCATAAGGATGAGGGAAGAGAGGAGGGAGACAGAAGGGAGGAGAGGAGGGAGGAGGGAGGAGGGAGGAGGAGCAGGAAAGTAAGAACGTGAACGTTCGAGGAAGTCCTAGGCGAAAGCGCCGTTCCTGAAGGAAGTCTCGGGCGGGAGCCCACGACGGGCGGGCGATCCCCTGACGGGTGGGTCGGGCGGGTGCGACAGTCAAGCGGGATGCCTGAGTATGGCGAGAGCGCGATTACTAAGTAAATTGTAAAGGCGTCCTTGGCGCAGCGTGTTTCCTGAGCGTCGAAAGCGCGATGTATGAACACATTGCATGGAAGTTACAGGCGAGAGCGCAGTTCATGAAAAAAATGTGAAGGGTTCTCTGGCGGGAGCGGGGGTCTGGATTAAATTGCGAGGAAGTCTTGATTCAACTGCGAGGAAGTCTCAATCGGGAGCGCCGCTCCTGAGAAAATTGTGAGGAAGTCTCAGATGGGAGCGGGGGTCCTAACTAAATTGCGAGGAAGTCACAGGCGGAAGCACCGATCCTGAGTAAATTGTGAGGAAGTCTCAGGAGCGGGGGTCCTGAGTAATTTAAGAGGCAGTCTCAGGCGGGAGCCGTTGTTGTAATCCATGGGGCCAGGGGCACAGTTTGAGACCCAAGACTTTCCCTGTCAAAAAACAAGGTGCGAACGTCGGTGGGTACTCTTTGACTGAGAAAACATATTTACTGGTGAGGGGGATCAGCAATACTTATTCTTCAGAAATGAGAGTTCAACACCAACAACAAAAACAACACCACCACCACCACCAACAACAACAACAACAGCACCAACCACAACAACAACAACAACAACAACCACAACAACAACAACAGCAACAACGACGCAACAAACAGAATCCACACCATGGATTCTCACTTTAGCCACGCACCCAAAGACAATGAATAACCGTTCGGCCCCCGCATTCTGACTGACACCGCTACACCTCGGACCTCTCAGGCCAAGGCTGCGCTCGCTCTGACGAAGTGGCGACGAGGACCCCAAAAGATGGCCGCAAAGAAGAATCCATGTTCCTCTCCATGACATATCGATCGTGGGGGCAATCCGGAAAAGCGCCCCTCCCCCCCCCCCCCTCCCCCCCCAAGAACAGCAACAAACAAACAAACAAACTCTGGGCCTCTGGACGTCCTGGACGCCCAACCGCGGGTTTGTGAGCCTCCTGGACGTCGGCGGCAGGCCTCGCAAACAGAACCAACCTAAGTAGTTGGAAGGGCACCCGATAGGTCTCATGAGAGCCCCAAGTGGCTTCATAACCCCCCACTCATGCGCACGAAGACAGCAGACAGAAGACCTCCAAGAGGCCATGCAAACGCGAATCAAAACTACTCGTTGGAGGAAACCGCGGTTGGCAGCAAGATAGCTAGAAAGAGTAAGGGGACGGAGGGATACGAAGGAAGGGATACCCATAGTATAGCTTGAGTCCAGCATCTCCGAACGGTAGTCGCTTGAGCCAAGGTGGCTCCTCAGAGTGTTCGCGCGTCCTCCTGCTCCTGATCCGCCTGCGCCTTCGGCATCGTCGTCGTCGTCGAGCTGTTCGTCATCGTCGTCGTCGTCCTATTCCTCGGCATCCACGTCATGCTCCATCTCGCCCTCGGCCCCATCCCTAGCACTACACCTCCTCCTCATCATCATCCCACTCCTCTATTCCTCCAGCTCCTCCTCCTCCTCCTCCTCCACCTCCTCCTCCTACTCCAAGACCTCCTCCTTATCCTGGCCTCCTGGTCCTTCCTCTCCTTCTCCTCCTATACTTCCTCATCTCACTCCTCCTCGCCCCACCTCCCAATACGAATCCTCCTTCTCCTCCTGGTTGTATTCCTCCTCATCCTCTACCTCCTCGTCGCACTCCCCTTGTCTTGTTCCTCCTCCTGCGCCGTGCTCCCCGTCCTCATCCACGTAATCCTCGTACTCCTCAACGTGTTTCCTCGTCTGCCTCCCATTGGCAGTGCTCCTTCTCCTCCTCGTCCTCCGCCTCCTCCTCATTAGCATCATCAGTAGCAGCATCAGCATCCGCATCAGCATCATCATGATAATCATGATCATCATGATCAGCATCATGTTCAGCATCATCATCATATCCTCATCCTCATCATCATCATCAGCATCATCATCATCATCAGCATCATCATCATCATCATCATCATCATCATCGTCGTCGCCATCGTCATCGCCATCGCCATCGCCATCGTCATCATCAGCAGCAACATCATCATCATCATCAGCAGCAGCATCATCATCATCATCAGCATCATCATCAGCATCATCATCAACAGCATCAGCATCATCCTCATAACACTTCTCCTCCTCGTCCATCCTCTTCTCCGTTTCCTCCGCCATACCAGGGACGCCTTCGCACTCTCGATGCCGCTTCCAACTTCCAGGAGGCATCCTCGCCAGGGATGCCCTCACACAAATAGCTGGGGCCTGGCTCCGTCTCCCTCCTGCATTATTCCGCTGTCCCCCTCCCCTCCTCCTTAGGAAGGCACCAACTATACACCAACACCGATCCTGGCCAGGATCACCCTGGGCCCAGGATCGGTGTATACGCCCTCCTGCCCTGCGCAAGAAGGCATATGCACCGATCCTGGGCCCAGGGTGATCCTGGGCCAGGATCGGTGTTGGTGTATAGTTGGTGCCCTCCGACTCCTGCCCCTTATCCCGCACCCCTCCCTCCTCGCCGCGCCCTCGCTCGAGGCACCTCCACGACCTGCTCCCGCAGGCCTCCGCCCCGAGGAGCGCTCGGAACTTACCCCACGGGATCGCGCTCGCGCCCTGGGCGCCAGCTACTTGCCTCCTCCGTCGGGCCAGGGGCGCCAGGACCCCTCCTCCCAGGGCAGAATGCGACGAGAGGAGTGGAAAATCAAACGGTTCGTGTGGGTCTGGACCCCCCCCCCTCCCCCCTCCCTGCTCCCTGCTCCCCCTCGGAGCCCAAAGTTTCGAGGATGTCTCAAGCGAAATACGCCGGACCGCCTCGTGCGCAGCGCTCCAAGGACCATACTTCCGAGAACATCTCGGGCGAACATCTGATGTCAAAACTAAGCGAAAATGTCCCTGACCATACGCCGCGCACCGTCAACCCACAAATGTCCAACACATACGCTGGTGCAAGGCGGGTCGTGCTCAAAACCTGGCTGCTGCTTGGTAGTGGTCGTGATGTGTGCCTTTGATGCGTGGTATGTGAATCCGATACTTGTGCCTGCCATAGAGGCATGTCACGGGTATATGTGTTGGTGTCTGTGGTTCATGTCTGTTTGTGGTGCTTGTGGATGGTGTGTTCCTGGTGCTGGTGTACGTGCTGGATGTATATCACTGGTGCCTGCCGTTTGCGCAAGCTGCTGACGTGTGCCTTGAATGTCTGTCAGTGGTGCATGTTCTGGAGGTGTGTCCCAAATGCGTGCTCTGAGTAGTATGGCCATGCTCCCTGTCCTTGATCTTCCTTGATGTCTGTGGACGGCTTGACGTCGTGGCGCCTGGACAACGTGGCGTCTGCCTGGTGGGGCGTGGCGATCTCAGGGACACTCGGAGACTCTCTGGGCCCAGCGGCCGCGGTATGCTGGGCTGGCGAGGCGAGCGTTTCAGGACCCGTCAGAGACTCATTGGGCCTTGTTTTCTCGGTATGCAGGGCTGGCGGGCCGGCTTTCTCTCATAATCGAGCGCACCCGACCACTTGAGTGGGGGAACACGTTTCCTGTAGCACCAACCTCCGAGCGCAACCAAAGGATCCACCGGCAGAAAGAAAATTATCACACCAAGAGAGATGTGGGACGCTACAGCTGCCACCAGTCCGACGCCCCCGAATAAGGGCCAGGGCTTGCGGATGGTGGCTCCTCAAGGCCAAGAGAGTGGGGGAATATTTCAAAAACGCTTCGGTCCTCATCCGCCATGCCCGCCCCAGGCCCGTCCCACGGCGTTCCCCCGCCGTTGGGCCCCGTGCACAAAGGCCTGCCCGGCCAGCGCTGCGCGCCGGCCCGCTGGCCCGCCGCGGCGGCGGCGAGGAAGGCGTCTGGGCACCGCATGCTTTGAGGTTCGCGTGCCCTCTCCCCGCCGTGACTCTCCCTCTCTCTCTCTCTCTGTCTCCCTCTCTCTCTATCCCTCTCTTCCTCTCCCTCCCTCTCCCTCTCTCTCCTTGTCAATCTCCCTCTCTCCCTCTCTTTCCCAATGTGTGCCTCTCTGTCTCTCTCTCACGATCCCAGCTCGATCGCAAGGGAGAGAGAGAGGAGGGAAAGAGAGAGAGAGAGAACGAAAGAAAGAAAGAAAGACAGTGAAGCAACGAAACAAGCAAACAACAACTATGAACAGTATGTGTGAATCTGCAAATGCATACATACGAAACACACATTATCCCTCGCGGGCCAGGACTTTCTGCCAGTTCCATCCCGTGCTCCGCTGCCATGGGGACGTGCCAGGACTGCCGCTGCTCCCCAGACCCCTGGCAACGTGAGACAGGTCACGACTGAACACGTTTACCAACTTCGAAAGCACCATTAATAAACGACTGGGGAAGAAACACCGGTCCCCGGAAAGGGTTGAGACTTCTGGGCCAAATTTTGCGGAACAAACACGACTCGACGTCGGGGCTCCCCCAACACCCGTCGAAGATCAAGGTTCGAGGATCGTGACTTTCAAATGTATCTTTGCTCGACCTCGTTAATGACCCCCTTCCTCGCTAATCCTCCCCGTCCTGCTCTTCCCCCTCCCCAGTCCCCCTCCCCCTCTGGCCGCCGTCTTCATCATCAGTCCTCCTCCCCGCCATCCTTCTCCACACTCCGGCGATCCCGCCACAACCACTCGCGCAAACCAAGTGCGTGATATATGTGTTGGCGTTCGGCAATACATCATGTCGGACAGGGTGCCTCGATCACCGAAAGCCGTGGACATGTTCAATGACTCCCCCATCGAACCCAATAACTGCATCCCGTATCCTGTAGACATGCCCCCATCAAATTCCAATCCGTTCCTTCTCCTGGCCCAAAGTACCTTCGTCCTCGACGCCGTCCCTTAGCCTGAAACATGTCCCTATCCGCATGATCTGCATCACGTTTTCTCGACGCCGATCTCAAGGATTCCCTCCGTCTCTGAGGGCAAATTCCCAAATATTGTTATCGCTCTACTGTTGTCAATCTTTCGGATCGGGGCGAGCTCGAAGCTGGTAAACTCCATCTCCTTCCGTAGTCAATTTGTCTCTTTTGTTTTTTTGTTTGTTTTTTTTATATATATATATATCTCTCTCTCTCTCGGGGAGAGAGAGGCCTCCCAGATGGGGTCGCAGTAGATGGGGTCGGAGGATCGCGCCGCATCGTCGATGCATCGGCGACGTCGGCGACGTATCAGCCACGTCGGCCCAGAATCGGGCTCGAACCGCATCGCCGATGCGGCGTGATCCTCCGATCCCATCTGCTCGGACCCCCTTTGGGAAACCTAGACTCTCTCTCTCCCTCTTGTGACCGCTTGTTCCTTTCCCTGGTAACGTCTATGGCGCCGCCTGCATACTTGGGCCAGCATGCGGGGCGCGGTGCAACCTGCATGGAGCAAGCCGCCGAAGCCTCTCTCGACGCGAGACGGGTCGAGGCGACGAGGCGGTGGATCCGGCGAGGCACCTTGGATCTCGTCGAGCTTCGGGTGCAGGCCAGGACTGAGCGCCAACGCAATCTGGAGGAGGAGCTGCCGAGGCAAACGCGACAGAGCGGCTTGGCTGGGCGACGTCGTGACCAACGAAAACTGGGAAGGCCTCAGACCGTCGAAGAAGAGGGGGCGCAGATCCCAAGGCAGGACCCAAAATCGAGACGGAGACCTTGTGGAAAACAACCAACGAGCCGAGACTTTGGCTACCTATTTCTCCGAGGTCCAGTGGTCGGAGCCTCCTGTTGGTCACCATCTGCCACACGGGCGACGACCAAACAATCTGCTGCAACTTCCACTCGAGGAGTTTTCCGGAACAAAGCTGGAACAAGTATTGCGCAAACTGAAGTCGGGTACGGCCGCCGGGCCCGACGACATCCCTCCAGACTTTTGGAAGGTGTTGCGCAAGAGCGCAGAAGCATGCAACATCCTGCTAGGCCTCTTGAACATCTGTTGGCAAGGTGTCACAGGAGTGGCAGCACAGCCGAATCACCGCCATCTTCAAGAAAGGGGACGAGTCCATGCCGACGAATTTCCGACCAATTTCGTTGCTTCTTGTCGGATATAAAGTGTTGGCGTCTCTGCTCTTCAACAGGCTCGCAGACGGCGGCGTGGAGGACCGACTCAGACCCAGCTAGTCTGGATGTCGGAGCAAGCACGGTACCAGGGACGCCGTCTGTATCCTGCACAGGTTGATCGAGAACACGTGGGCCTCCAAGGATGGCAAGGCATCTGCAGTGGTTGTGATTCTGGACTGGTCAAAAGCGTTCGACAAGGCTTAGGTGGACCACTCCGCTCTCGTTGGCCTGCTTTGGAATCCCAGACTCCTACATCGACATGATCAGCGCAATATACGACGGGAGGACCTTCGAAGCCAAAGACACGGATGGCCAAAACAGAATCCACGGCCAAGGATCGGGAATCGCACAGGGATGCACTCTATGTCCGTTCTATTGATAATCATGCTGAGCGTTCTGATGATCGACGTAAGAAAGGATGTGCTTGAGAAGTTCGGCGACCCCCCCGCGGGAACGCAGTGCGCCGACGTTGCGTATGCAGATGACACGGCCTTGCTCTCCAACGACATCCAGCGTTTACAATACTCTCTAGACCGGCGAATCATGCGAGCTCAAGTGTACGGCCTGGAGCCCCCCGTTGGGGGAAAACGGTGCACATGCAGATCCGGCACACCAGCGACGCCTTCACGCCGCAAGGAGCGCCCGTGAAGATCGTGAGTTCGGCGGTGTACCTCGGAGGCCTCCTACGGGAAGATGAAGACACGGGAGCCTCGGTCGCTCGGAGGGTCGGGGAAGCACGCGGGGCATTCGAGTCTTGGAAGACCGTATGGAAGCACGCCAGCATCACGAGGCAGTGGAACCTGTATCTGTTCAGCGCACGCGTGGTGACTCAATTAACACACAGTCTGGAGGCACTGTGCTTGCGCCAGACGGACAGGGACAAGATCAACGCTTTCCAAGCGCATCGTCTGCGCAAAAGATCTGGCGTCCCGCATTCGATGATCTCCCGGGTCAGCAACGAGGCGGTGCGGAACATGTCGCGCCAGCGCAAGATAAGTTTACGTGTTCTGTATAATCAGCTGGTGTATGTTGACAATCTGGCATCGGCATCTGACACAACTTTACCACATTCATATGTATATCAGAAAAGAAACTCTGATGTTGCAGATTATGGCCGACGAGGGAGAGGCCGCCCGAGACTACAGTGGGCCAGAATCATGCAAGCGCAATCGCAAACGATTAAGCAGGTCCACAGACAATCAGCTATCAGCTCTCCATGACGAAGCATGGCGGAAGGCCGTGTACAAGTACGCATATCATTGACACCAAGGGCACTGCGGCAACGATTGCCTCGCAGACAAATTCTGAGGATCACTTTCTCTCCCCTCCCACTCCTCGCCCCTCCCCCTCCTGCCCCTCCCCCTCCTCCCCTCTGGCCGAGAACATGTCAGGTTACATACTGTCGTATGTGTCTTTTTCTTCCAGGCTGCTTCAGACCACGCCGCTGCGAGCCAGGCGACTGCCTTCTGCCGGCGGAAGTGCGTGCAGCAGCCGCGCACTGCAACCGATGTGCCGTCCCAGGCACGGTTCTGTCTGTCTGCCTGTCTGGTAACGGTCGTTACCCGGGGGAGGAGTGGATGTTCAGGCGGGAGGGAAACGGTAGCGGCGGCCGTGGCGTGCACCCGCCAGGGTGCGTCCGCGCCACAAGCGCATCCATCGCCTGTGTGCACCACAGCATGCAGGGGGGGGGTCCAGGCCACACCCATTCCTAGTGCGACTGTTAGCGTTACCCGAGGGGGGAGCAAAAAGCTCACCTTCCCTTTCCTCCTCCTCCTCCTCCTCCTCCTCCTCCTCCTCCTCCTCCTCCCTGCTCATAGTCCCCCCCCCTCTCCCGTGGGGCGACAAGGGGCGAATAGCTAAGGGGGGGGTTAGCAAAGAATCAGCTCACGCCATAGCTGGTTTCCCCGGCGAGGCTCCCGGCGCTGGAGGCGCCCATGAATCTGGTCAACCTCTGGAGTAAGGACGTGCGGTAAGGACGCAAGGGCCTTGGAGGGCCATGTCAGCGTGCTTCGAGCGAGGCTGGCCAGTGGAAGTCGCTGAGGCGGGACCGAAGGGGCAAGGACGCAGGGGTAGCCTTGGAAAGCCCCACTCATCCTTACAGAGCGAGACTGTTGTGTGTCGAGGAAGGCGCCCTTGCGGCGCGGCCGACACCAGCTGCAGAGTGACCCAGGGCTCCCAACTTCGCGCTCTCGCGCTCCGCGAAGCGCGAAGCGCGAATAACTTCGCGCTCTCGCGCCGCCCCCCCAAAGGGACAAAAGGAGGACGAGGAGGAGGGGGAGGAGAAACGAGGACCGCGAAGCGCGAAGCGCGAATAACTTCGCGCCCTCGGGGGAGCCCTTGGTGACCATGAGCAAACCGTGTATCTGGAGCGCGGCTGGCCGACCGTTGCATGCAGTGCGACGGTAGCGGCGCGCGTGCTTGTGCTCGGCCGCGCCGCGCCCGCCGAACGCCACGCATCAGAGGCCACTCTTGCGCGGCGCCGACGCCCTTTCGTCCGACCAGACTCCTCCCTGGACGCCCGAATGGGGTGCACGGGTAAACGTACGATGCCTAAACGACATCGGCCGCTGTCCAACACCGACAACGGCCGCTGTTGGACAGGCGGCCTTCCGTCTCAAGTGGACAACGTCCGCAGCGACGCCGACAACGAACCCAATTCAAAGAGGACAGGGATTGACGTCGGTCTTCGACCCAGTCTTTCCGTGCGCATTTCGATTGTATCGATCTGGGGCGCAACAGGACATACTAATACAAGGTGTCCTCCTCGGAGGCGTGCGTCCGAACCGAACATATAATGTAAACATCTCATCGTATATCGTTCCCCGAGAGGTATGGCCGGAGAGCGCCCGTCACGGAGCATACAGTACGAGATTCCTTGGTGTGCGCGTCGCACTTTTGGGGCCGACGCACACCTAGTACATAATATGTTCGGGCGGCGCCGACGATCCCCGCCCCCCTCCCCTGCGCCTGCAGCCGCTTGAGGCGTGGCGGCCGGGGCACTGGGCGCGGACGGGGCCGGGCTGAGCATCGGCGGCGCCAGGACGGCCTTCGTGGGGCGGGGGACGAGGCGCGGCTGGAGGCTCCTCGGCACGACGTTTTCGCAAGCGCCAATCGCTTGACGCGGTTCCTGCGGCTTCGGCACGCGGCGGCCGAGACACCACGGAACGTCTGCCCACGATGCGGCTGGTCTCCTGCTGGCCGGCACTACCGTGGGCACGATGGGGGCCGCCTCTGCGACCTCCCTCGGCGCACCTGGCGAGCTCAAGCCTGATCTGGCACAAGGTGCAGAATTGGACTCGGCGCTAGTATGTGCTTGTCCACCGAAGCACTTCACTGCGACGCAGGCAGTGTTGCCAAGGCCGATACAAGCTGCGCGCTATCGGCGGAACCGAACAAGGCAAACACACATGAACGACGAAAAGACACGGTTCTTCCGCGAGATGGCATGGCAACCTTACGCGCTGGCTTACGCGGGCCGCCAATGCGGCACGCTACTTTAGAAACGAAATCGCGTACGCGCGACTTCGTACGCAGGTAAATTACGCGCCGATGTCTGCGAAGACGACCCCTTTTTCTTCCGACACTCTCGCCCTATATTCTATCGATGCCGACGCCGACGAGCTGGCCGCGCATGGCACCTGGACAAAGATGATGAGCGGAAACGGCTAGAGGCAACAATGACACCGTAGAGCGTCTGGAACGAATACTTTTGGCCCTTCGGACTTACAGCCGTCTTCGGCAACCTGGCTACCTGGAGAGACCTCGGGGGCCTCGGGCGGGCCATCGTGGTCTGAAAGCCAAAACGGAAGAGGACGCAGTGCAGCACAACGTCCCTGGCCACACCCATCACCTTCCTCACAGCACTATCGCGTAAACACTGCCCATGAAACGTGGGGGGGCAAACGTCGTGGGTGGTGCCACGCAGGCGAAAATTATCCCAGGGCCTAATCTTCACGCCGGCGAAAAAAGGTCACCCAAGTGCCGGCCAACATTATGCACCATTCCAGGGTCGCCAGTGATAGTGGTGAATATAAAAAAATATGTATGGCAGTGATGGTGGAGATGACGATGTTAATGGTGAGGACGGTCACGCGATCATGACGATGATCGTGTATGGTGGTTATCCAGGCAAACGGATGTGAACAAACGCGGGATACGTGCAATGAGCGAGCGCGGCTGCTGCATAATTGACGAACATCTGTCTGCTGCACATCCCAATCACCGCCAATTTTGCGAACGATATGTATTCATAGGGGCCAGCGAAAATTAAGCCACCATCTCGCGAGGGCCGGCGGAAAATATTCGGGGCCCAACGCCGGCGAAAATCACACTGGTGCTCAAACATGCGCGCTGTGAGTATTACACCACCAACCTTTAATACAGGACATAGAGGATGCTTCACAGGATGGGATGTCGTTTCCGGAGCAGACGGCGACCTTGTCTGGGCTTGAAGGGGGAACCAATGAACAATTCGGGAGGGTCGGGGTGGGCGTTTGAATTTGGAGTTACACAACCAAACTATGTCATCACAGAAACCGGAAGGATACCCAGCGGCCAGCGCGGACTGAAGGTTACCGTTCTGATCGCGGCCTTCGGCAATCTGGTGAGGCAATCCCGAAGAGGAACAACCACATTTACATGTGAACTGGCGAGTGGCGACGTCAGAAAGCTCGACATTGGCATGGAGCAGCCCAGTGCGCTTCCGAAAACGCGAGCCAGAAGCACAATGGTCAAAGGTAATATGCGAGTACTTCCTTAGAGCTGGACAAAAAGGGGATGGGACCAAAGCGTGGAAGAGGCAGGATTTTCGAGCAAGATCGGGATGCCAGCCCGAGCGACAGCCTCGAAAAGACGCTCGGCCCAGGCAGCCCGGGCGCTGCCGAGAGAGATCTGAACCCAATCATTAGGGCTGAGATCAAGGAGCCCGAAGATGTGTCTGGCATCGCGTACTGTCCCAGGCCATCCAGGACGAGTCCAAACTTTAGGTCCCTGGCGAGGCCGCGACCAACTGGTACAAGCAAGAGTAAGGAAAACGAGACGTAGGGGCCCGTGTCTAGCGAGGGCCCGCATCTAGGAGACCGCGCAACAGGGTAAAAGGCGTCCTGCAGAGGCGAACCCATCAGCCCTCAACTCCAGGCCACGACGCCTACGCGGGCGGCAGCTCGGGCCACGCCTCGAGCGCCTGCCGCGCTCGGCCGTTGACAAGCTGGGGCGAGCAGACGCGCTTCGGCACCGCGCAGCTGGCCCCCTCACTCGCCCCAGGCCCAGAGCAGCTCGACCCGCCGCGCCCCCGCCGACGCGGAGGGGGCGTCGGCGATGCCGCCCCCGGCAAGGCCCACTCGATGGGCGCCCCACTGGCGGTCGCGGTGCTCGCGGGCCACACGCGCCAGAGCGCCCGGGAGCTGCTGCGCCATCCCCGGCTCGGCGTAACGCCTGACCGACGCGTCCTGTATCCAGCGCGCGCGCGTCTTCACCTCGGGCAAGGGGCGCCCTTCCGACAGCGCGTCGTCGCCGGCGCCCCCGTGCCTGAGCAGGCGCAGCACTTGGCCGCGCAACTCGGGGCTCGCGCCGAGGTTGCGGAACGTGGCCATGACCTGGGCCGCCGCCGTCCCGAAGACGAAGTTGCCGGGCCGCCCGCCGCGGACGCGGGCCCCCGGCGCGGGCCCGAGCAAGGTCGGGGTGTCCAGGTCGATCGACTCGTCGGACGCGCCTGTCTCGGTGAGCGCCCGAGCCCTGGCCCCCGTCGCCGTCGGCGGCGAAGGGTCGTCGCGCGTCGGAGCCAGCAATGGCCCCCGGCGCCCCGAAGGACCATGCAGCGTCGCGCAGCGGCGGGATGAGCTCCTTCACCTGGAGATGTCACATCGTCCTGGGGCGCAGATGCGCGAAATGCTGCGCGACTATCTGCAGCGCCGCGCGGCGCCGGCCCCTGGCCACCACGCCCGCGGCCGATAAGGGCAGCGCCTCCCTCGCCGCCGTCGCCTCGCAGCCCCCTTCGCGCTTCGGGCAGTTGCTCTGCATCAGCGCGCCTGGCTTATCGAGCAGCTTGACCAGCAGCATCTCGATGTTGTCGGGCACGGGGTCGGGCGGGCAGAACTCGGAGAACGTGGCGAAGTGCTCCTCGCTCTTGGCCCTCGCGTCGGAGCTAACGGCAGCCTCCTCGCGCGCCCGTCCAGCACCTCGCGCAGCCGCCGCTCGGCGCGCGGAGCCCGCGAGAAAGCCGGCCGGCGCCGTGCCGGCGGCGCGGCGGCCGGGCAGCTGGCCTGGGCCGAGGGGCGCCCTCGGGCTGGTGCTGCGCCGCGGCCCGCGCCGGCGCGGCCCTTGGCGTCGCTGGCGGCGCAGTCGAAGTGGCCTCGCCAGCCGCGCTCGGGGGCCCCAGCATGGATCTGCGAACGGGCTCGGTGTCCACGTTCGCAGAGACGCGACGCGATGGGGCGTCGGCAGCGTTGACCTCCGCGGGAACCCAACGGGGCCTCGCCCCAATGTTCAAGCCAAGATGCAGCGTAGCGGATCAACGACATATCTGGAAGAGCCCACGGGGGGTAGCGCGGCCACGCTAGATCGAGCAGCACGCCCCGAAGTCGTCGACTCCTCGACGCCGTGGAAGTAAGGCACCCCGCGAAGACGGCGTGACAATCAAGACGCAGTAACTCCTGGCCCACGCCTGGGAAACCCGAGTGCATCTCCCACATCGCATCTGACGCTCGAGTCTTGAGACGGATCCCCCCAGGCGGCGCGAGGGCATGGGATGTCGTCGAGGCCGTCAAGGGCGCGCCGACGCGGCGCCCGCTCGGCCATCGCTCGCGGAAGCGCCATCGCTCGCGCCAGCGGCCGGCCGCAGCGATCTCCGCCCCCTGGCCGCGCGCCTCCACGACCCCGATGCCGGTGGTTGAGGCGTCGGCGGCGACGACGACGTCAGACCGTGGGCGCGGTGAGAGGTCGGTGCTCGTCAGCACGGAGATGCCTCCCATGACCCAACCCTCGCAGCGGCGCGACGGCCGCAGACGGCGTGGCCAGTCGTGCCTGCCCTTGACGAAGTTATAGATGGCTCTCAGGACGGCGAGAGCGGGGCGGCGCGCCATGCGCGCCGCCGCGATGTGACCCGCGATGACCTCAACCTGGCGCTCGCTCACCACCGGGCCCTCGGCCAGCCAAATCAGCGCTCGGCGCGGCGAGGCGAGCTTGGCCCCAGTGCGCTGAGCCACGGGTGGGCAGCCGCTCACGTCGGTGCCGCCCAACGCCGTCGCGGCCGCGGAGACGTCGGAGATCTTGTGGATCTCGAAACCTTTCGCCTCGAACTGGCCGAGGACAGCGCTCGTCATCCTGCCGACCTCGACGCCGTTGAAAGCTAACATGTTGACGTTGTTCGAGCGCGGCTGGTCAGCGGCCCCGGGCTCCAGCAGGGGCATCGGCCAGTTCCCCGCCGCGGTGCGGGGCGGCGGCGCGCCCGCCCGTCTCGCCATCTCCAGGTGCACGCGCTGGACGAACCAGAAGTCCCAGACCCGCCCCATCGGCCGCGCCGCGAGCGCAGGGCAGACCTTCGACGACTCCGCGATGCAAGATTCGCCTGAGAAGTGGGCCCTGCCCAAGGCGGCCGCCTCTACGCCCGCGAACTTGGGCAAGCCGAAGAGCTGGCTGAGGTCGCCGAGGCCGCCGCGCCGGTAGAGACAGCGCTCCGCGTCCGCGCTCGCGATGTAGAGGGCGCCCTCGGCCTTGGCGCGCGTGGGCAAGGGGCTCGGCCGTCGCGATTTCGGCGCACGAAGCGCGCTGAAAGCGCTTGTGGACCAGCCGGCAGTCCAATGCCGTACGCAGACCCCCGCTCTCCTCACCGACAAAGAAGGGGGCCGCCGTCTCAAGCACCGACGAGAGAGGCACCATGATGACGACGTCTTGCAAGCACCTCAGAAAGGCCGCGCAGGCGGCCCGGGCGGAGCGCGGCGCGTCATCGAAGAGAGGTCGCCCAGGACCGTCGGCCCAACGGTAGAAGTGAACGTCTTCGTCCGACATCTGGGACGCGTCGTAGTCAGCCAGGCACCAAGCAGCATCACTATCCAAAACCGAGGAGAAGACGACCGCCCTGGAGGAAGCAAAGAAAGAAGAGCTGGAACGTGCGGCCGCGCAAGAAAATCTGCGCCAAAGTAGTCGGAGACGTTGCCCGAAGCCGACGCGCAACTTCACGGGGCGGCCCGGAGAGCCGTGAACTTATATCGTGCCGAGACTCCCGCGACGCGCGGACGACCCCCCGCCGCGCGGCATCCTGCGCCAGGGTACACCGCGCCCTCATGCTCGCGCTCGCACCTGTAGAGCGCGCCCAGGGCACCGATGCAGTAGCTGGCGTCCGTCGCGGCAGCCTCGCGGAAGCATCTGCGGCACTGTCCAGATCTGGGCATCCACCCCTACGGGCGGCAAGGGCAAGAGCGCAGCTTCGCCCCGACAAGTTCGCGGGGCATCGGGCCAGCCAGCGGCGCCCTGGGGAGGGCGGCCCGCGCCGAGCATCGGCGCCTGGCGCCTGGGCGCGTGCGAGGCGGCTGCGCCGGGAGGGGCGGGGGCCCCACCGCCTCGGCCCGCGTGGATCAGACCTTGTCCTTGGCCCTCTTGGGGGCAGCATTGGCCTTCGCCTCCTTGGACTCGCGGCGCTCCCTGTCGACTCGACGGCCGCCTCGCGGCAGGACTCCGACGCCACGTCCCCGGAGGGTGGTGGGCCCCCATCGATGTCCGCCCTCTCTGGGCCCTCGACGTGAGCCTCCACCAGCGGCTGGCGGCGGCGGTTCACGCACTCCATGGCGGCGAGGTCGGCGACGTTGAGCCGTTGAGCCCGTCGGCGCCGACGGCCAGCTCGAGCGCCTTCAAGATCACGCGATGCTCGTGCGCCGAGCGCGAGCCAGGGCTGACCCTCGACTCGACCAGCCAGCGCTCGTGGGAAGCCTGGGTGCCGCCCAGCGCCCGCGCCAGCAGCCCAGCGACCGCGTCGCCCACCGTGGCAGGACCGCGCAGGCGGATGGGCACCTTGGCATCGCGAACGAGC